CCCTTCACACCATGGAATGATGATGATGATGTATGTTCGGGGCTGCATTGCAATATTGATTGTTCGGATCATTGGTATCTAAGTCTTCCGCTACGTTATTTTGTACTTTGTATTGAGAGGTCAGTTCTTGTTCTGGTTTGCACAGTTACAGTATGCAACAGTTTGGTATCGGAGCGGACCTCTCATTCAGAGGACCAGCTCAATCAAGTAGCCAGCTTGCTTGATCTAGTGATCACTCATTAGTAAATCAAGTAGGACTTCGTCAAATCTCTGAATTTTTGTTTCTTTTCGCAACAACTATCTGAAAATTTTTGATATTCGCATTTCGTTTTACCTGAAAATTTCTGATATTGGTATTTCGTTTTCACGTAACAAATATCTGAAAATTTCTGATAAATCACATTTTCGTTTTGTCTGAAAATTCCTGATAGTAGCATTTCGTTTCTCTGATATTTCGCATACATAGCTGAAAATTTCTGATGTTAGTATTTTGTTTTCTAGGTATATTGGGATAACGATAGAAGTGGTCATATTCTCGGAAACCAGAATTATTCTTTTCTGAAAATCGAATTTCCATTCTATCTCGTAATTTTTTTTGAAAACCGAAATCTTGTAAAGCCAACCAACATTTCGATAGGCATATTCGTAGGTTGTCATACTCTCAGAAACGGGATTTAGTTCTTTTCTGAAAATCGCATCTCTATTCTATCTCGCAATTGTTTTTTTTCAAGATCGCATTTTGTGAAAGTCGAAACTTTGCGGAACCTAGCCTAGATCTCGCTCATAGTACTCTTCTGACATGTCTCACTCATAATAGATCGACAGATATTAAAAAAAAAAAAAAAAGGAAGTAGTCCTCTTTTATTTTTTTTATTTTTATCTGTTGATTAGGGCCGGAGGAAAGTATTGTTGGTTGGTCCCCTACCTGCGTTTTCCCTCCCACCCAACCCTTTGCATGCATTTCCAGGTTGGTACAGTGCCACGTCAGCAGTGCCATGTCATCAACAATGCCACGTCAGCAGTGCCACGTCAGCAGTGCCACGTCAGCAGTGTCACGTCAGCCACAGTGCCACGTCAGCAGTGGCACATCAGCAACGGTGCCACGTCAGCAGTGTCACGTCAGCCACAGTGCCACGTCAGCAGTGCCACATCAGCAGTGCCACGTCAGCCACAGTGCCACGTCAGCAGTGGCACATCAGCAACGGTGCCACGTCAGCAGTGCCACGTCAGCCACAGTGCCACGTCAGCAGTGCCACATCAGCAGTGCCACGTCAGCCACAGTGCCACGTCAGCAGTGACCCGCCACCATGACGGGCACAGCTCTGGGCATGCCAGACCAACTGGCCAACGAGTCTATTGCCGACTACAAACAGCGGTTCCAGACTCAGCTCGCACTAATCGAGGCTGAGGAACAGCGCCAGCTGGCAGCCGAGGCCGCCCACCTACAGGCTGAAGCAGCGGCAACAGCTGAGAAGCAGCGGCTACAGGCCGAAGCAAACGCAGATACCCAGGCACGCCGCAAGGAGGCCCAGGATCTGCTGCAGCGGCATGAAGCCGCCAACATCGAAAGACTCAAGTATTGGCACTTCGAACCATCTGACGACCACGAGGACGCATTACCGGAAGAGCAGCACAAGGAGTTCCTCTCCAAACTCGTGACACGGTTGTTATATGCTTGCAACTACCAACAGTCCGAGTTGGAGAGACAGAACCAGGAACTGTAGCAACACTACCAGGATCTGAAGAAACAGCACCAGGAGTTGGTGAACCTCCGTCGGGCAATGCAGAGCCACGAGGATGCTACACGGGCACTCAATTCCCGTGTGCTGGACCTGGAGCAAGCTGTACCAGGACCAGATGTTGGTGTGTCCAGCAGTGCACCCTCTAACCGCCAACTGGAGGAACGCGTCGACCACGTCGTCACATTGCTCGGCGACATCAGCACCTTCGCTGCGCCAACCATCAGCAAACAGCTGGATACATTGAAGACCGAGGTTCAGCAACTGCAGTTGCCTAACAAGGATGGAAACAACACAACGCATTATAAGATGCCGACATTTCAAATCAAGAAGTTTGATGACTACACGCATCAAGATCCGGTCCTCTGGTGGGAAGGCTTTACGACGCAGCTGCGGATTCTGTTCGTCGCCAAGCACGCATACATCGACGCCCTGTTTCTCAACTCAAAGGGTGGATGCCAGACCTGGTTAAGCCACCTGGCATCCACCCACGGCGTCGACGTCGCAGATCTGAAAGACAAGATCTCATGGGAAGAGTTAACACGGCTATGGAAGAAGCGGTTCATCGTGGACGACGCACCTGCACTCGCCATCAACCATCTCTTCGCCATGACGCAAGGCAACACAGCAACACGTGACTGGCTCACGGAATGGCAGAAGATCGCGGCAACACCCGATCTGGACTTATCATTTCCGCATTTGCGCCGCGAGTTCTATAACATGTCATGTGCTGCATTGAGCCTTGCACTTGGTGATCGCGAGCATATGCAACCTTCGCTGAAATCATTGACAAGCCGAGGGAAATCATCAAGACCAACAGGGCGGCTGCACACGAGAAGTCAACGTGGCAGCCAACCTATGTGGAGAAGGTGAGAACTGGTCCGCGACCGCAGCAGTTCGCTGCAGTCCAAACGGACAAAATTGTGGAAGACCCGGCAGTCACCCAAGCGTCACGTGAGGGAGATCAGGTGGCTGCTGTCCAGCCGCGAAGCAACAACAAGCCCCGAGTGAACGGGAAGGTGAAAACTGCATCGCCGGCCGGAAACGGACAGCCAACACCACGGGTCAAGTTTACCTTGACCGAGGCCGAGTACAAGTACCGCGGCCGCTACGGCTGCTGCTATTGGTGCAATAGCACCAAGCACAAGACCTCTCAATGCCCTGATCAAGGCAAGGAGGATGTTCGGCCTCGTATTAACTCGGGAAACTGAGTCGCGCAGGAGGTGAGGCGACTCCACCTCTCACTCCGCCAGATTCGGCCGCCTTGYTAGCCGCCTCCTACACATCTGAGGAGGATGCGCATGTTGCAAGTCCTCGGTACACTTACGAGGACTATGCTGTCCACTTGGTCCCACCGCTAGACCAACCGCTCCACGTGCAACAATCAACCGCATGCACGGTTTCATCACCATTGGCAACCGATTCGGCCGTCATGGTCAAGACTTGAAGAGCTCGACCCATTGACATTTGCGGACTTCCAATGGATGCCCCTTCCCCGGTCCGGTCGATTGCCGAAACCGCATTGCAACGTGCTCATGGCACAATTGCGGGATTACTTGCACACTGCAGTACCGACTCCGTTGATGGACGCCGAAGTAGAGGTTGTCGACCTTCACGCCTACATTGCGAAGACCGACCGCGAGTTCAAGACGCAACGGTACGACGACATCGACGTACCATTGTTATATGTACGCATTCAGATCGGAGAGGCGACCTACAGCGCTTTGATCGATTGCGGAGCATCTCGCAACTACATCAGCCAGGACTTCATAGTGCGCGCCGGCCTTGGCCCACGCGTCTGGAGGAAGTCCCAGCCCATGCAAGTCACGTTGGCAGACGGTCACACGCACAAGTCAATCGACCGGTGCATTGATGACGTCCCAGTGTACTTTGCCCCTCACGCAAGTGAGGCGGTGTCCTTTGACATTCTGGACACCAAATTCGACATGATCTTGGGCATGCCATGGCTGCGAAGCGAGGACCACCCGGTGAACTTCTACCGCCGCACCGTTCACGTTCGTGATCGGAACGGAGTACTAGTCCCATGCACGGTGGTTCCTCCTCACCCTTCTATCAGCTGCCACGTGGTATCTGCCGCAAGCATGCGAGCTTCCATCATCAAAGACAGCATCGAGGAGATGGGGGTGTGTTTTCTCCACGCCCTCCCGCCCCATGACGCTTCACCAACGGACTCATCTTCGGATCCACGTATCACCGAGCTTCTCGACGCCTACCGCGACGTGTTCGAAGGCCCGCACGGAGTAGTACCGGATCGGCCCATCCGCCACGAGATCATCCTCGAGGACGGGGTCGTACCTCTGCGCGGTTGCATCTACCGAATGAGCGAGGAAGAGTTAAGTGTGCTTCGGGCACAACTCGACGACCTTCTGGAGAAAGGCTGGATTCGGCCTAGCTCATCGTCATACGGTGCTCCTATTCTCTTCGTCCGGAAGAAGAACAAGGATTTGCGGTTGTGCATTGATTATCGCAAGCTCAACGTGCAAACGATCAGAAACGCCGGCCCTCTCCCACACATTGACGACCTTCTCAAGCGACTGGGCGGCGCCAAGTTCTTCTCCAAGCTGGACCTCAAGTTGGGATATCACCAACTTGAGATTCGGAAGGAGGACCGCTACAAGACTGCGTTTAAGACGCGATATGGGCATTTCGAATGGCTGGTTATGCCATTTGGCCTTACGAATGCCCCGGCCACTTTCCAGGCGGCTATGATAATGGAGTTCCGACACATGCTGGATCGTTTCGTACTTATCTACCTCGACGACATCCTGGTGTACAGTCGGAGTTTGGAGGAGCATGTGGAACACCTGCGCACCGTTTTGGAGCGGCTACGACAAGAAGCCAACTGCGACAAATGCGAATTCGCGCGGCGGGAGCTGGAGTACTTGGGACATTATGTGACGCCGCAAGGCATCCGTCCGCTCGCGGACAAGATCGAGGCCCTCCGCGTATGGCTCGAGCCCACCAACACCACGGACATTCGTTCCTTCATGGGGTTGGCGGGCTACTATCAACGATTCATCACCGGATACTCAAGGATTGTTGCACCTATGATGAGATTACAATCGCCAAAGGTGCCATTCGTATTCGATGACGACGCACGCAGGTCATTCCAAGCACTTAATTCGGCCATGCTCATGGGACCCGTCCTTAGCATCTATGACCCCACCCTGCCAACGAGAGTGACAACTGACGCTTCCGGCTATGGCATTGGGGCAGTCTTGGAACAACACGACGGCAACGACTGGCACCCTGTGGAGTATTTCAGCCACAAAGTGTCTCCCATCAACTCGCTTGATGATGCAAGGAAGAAGGAGTTGCTCGCATTCGTCATGGCCCTCAAGCGATGGCGGCACTTCCTCCTTGGGCATCGTAGGTTCACATGGGTTATGGACAACAACCCACTGACTTACTACAAGACGCAGGATACGGTGAGCAGCACGATCGGACGATGGATGTACTTCATCGACCAATTTGACTTCACACCGAAACATCTTCCCGGCCTCTCCAATCGTGCAGCAGATGCACTCTCACGAAAACCTGATCTTTGCGCTATGACACATCATGCCTTCGCATTCGACGAGGAACTTCAGCGACACTTCATCCGGGGATATGAGTCGGATCCGGACTTCGCCACGTTGTATGCGCAGTTATTTTCGGATCACCCGCCGGCCAGCCACTATCACATTGCCGACGGGTACTTGCTCCTCCACTCGAGAGGCAAGGACTTATTGTGTGTGGCACGAGACTGTCGTCTCCGGACTCGCCTTCTCGGCGAGTACCATGACTCGCGACTCGCCGGCCATTTAGGAGTCAACCGCACCATTGCACGGCTTCGAAAACGATTCCATGGCCCGGCCTCATTACCGATGTCACTCGGTATTGCGACTCTTGCGAAGTTTGCTGACGAAGCAAGCCCCGCAATCGCAACCCCTACGGCGAGTTGCACCCGATGCCTATCCCACGGGAACCCGACCTCTCCATTGCCATGCATGTCACCGAACCATTTCCTCGTGATCGCCTCGGGACCGACGGCATCCTCACGGTTGTGGATCATTTGAGTAAAGTATGCGCGTTTTCTCCCTTGCAAATACTACTCCACGGCTCCCGAGCTGGCACGCCTCTTGCACACCGATTGGATTTGTGGCCACGATGTACCGGAAGACATAGTCAGCGACCGTGACACTCGCTTCATGTCGGTATTTTGGACTGCTCTCATGCAGGAGTCCGACACGAAGATGAAACCAAGTTCGGCTCGGCATCCTCAGACAAGCGGGCAAACGGAGCGGGCACATCAAACCGCTCAAATGATGCTTCGTACGCTCATCCGTCCGGACCAGAAAGATTGGGTTGACCGCCTCCCCGACATCGAGTTCGCCTGCAACACTTCGGTACACCCGGCGATCGGCGTGACTCCATTCGAGTTACACCACGGTGGACGGAAAGGCCTTATCTTCGCCGACCTTCTCCACCCACGACCAGCCGACATCGATGCCGCTTGCTCTCTCGCTTCCGTCCGGAACTACAGGGAATTGTTGGCTCAAGCCCACACAAATATGCAAAAGGCTCAAGTCCGCATGCAGCAGCAAGCCAACAGGCATCGCGTGCCATGTCCCATCCGTGCCGGCGACCTGGTTTGGGTTTCCGCGGAAGAGTTTGCACTGGAACAGGATGTCTCACGCAAACTGCTTCCCAAGTGGTTTGGACCATGGCCTATAACATCAGCCGCGGGCGATGAGCCCGATGACCCTTCATTTGTGATCAACATCCCCCCGCATCTGACGGTCCATCCAGTCTTTCACGCCTCGAAGCTGGCAACATACATGCCAGCTAAGAGCAACGACTTTCCGGGTCGATGATCGCAGGACCCTCCTTCTATGGATGGTCATCAGGAAGTTGACCGCGTCATCACCGATCGCAAGTACGGCAGCAAGCCGCGACAGTACAAAGTTACATTCAAAGCATGCGATCGCAACGACACTCGGTGGATTTCAGGAGCAGATTTGGAAGCATCCGCACCGCTGATCTACGCGCATTATGAGAAGCAAAGGTTAGCTCAGGGAGCTTCGCGACCAGCCCCTCCCACCCGGACTGTGGTCCCTCCCTAAGACAGCTTCGCCCTCGCAGGTAAGCTCAGTCTTTCAAGGAGGGGGGGGTGTGGCATACTGCGTAGCCACACGGGCCTGCAGGGCCCGTCCCGCATTCTCAACCTAAAAGCCTAGAAAATAGGGCTTACAAGCCCCATGTCGTTTCAGCCTGAAACTGAAAACGAGGGCCTGCAGGCCCTATTTCGTTTTCAGCCTACATCAGGGTTTTTCAGCCCTGAGGCTTTTCAGCCTGAAACGGAGGGCCAGTTTCGCGCCCTCATAAGATCGACCTACCCTAAGACTCAGGCACAAAAACAGGGTTTTGGGAACAGGCTATTTCTGGCCTGTTCCCCACGACAGCCTCGAGCAGGAGCTGCGGCGGCAGCCCCTGACTGCCTTCGGCATTGGCAACAGCAGCCTCCTGGACTGCCTCGCCTGCAGCCAGGAGGTACCCGAGTATTACATAGGAAGTTCCCATGCACTTCACGGGTAGGTAGTTGGACAGTAGGACGAGTAGTCTTCAGGATTCGGCCGCAACACTCAGGAGGAGCGCTGCAGGAGGTAGCTTAGCGCTAGCAGTAGTCTTCAGCGCTGGGCGCTAGTAGCCATAGCAGTAGTCTTCAACGTTGGGCGCTAGTAGGTGGTAGTGGTAGTGTGGGAGAGAGATGGCTGGCGGAGGCCAGCGAGACTTACCTGTGGCGCCATAGCTCCAGCTCCATCTTCGAGGTACCTGCATCAAGGCGCCAACTTCACA